AATTAATTCAAAAGGTTATCAGAAGTTAGGAGAATATTTAAAATACATGAAATAATCAATATTCGTCAGAATTTTCTGAGAGAAAATTAGTAAGCGTCTGATTACACTTTCCTCATTCTGATAGAAGTGTGCTTTCCAAAAGCTGTCAGAAGCTCACAATCACATACAATGGTATACTTACCAGCAATTTTTATAAGCAAACTGACCCCCAAAGAAGAGCTTCCATATCCTGTTTCCTTTTCATAGTTTAAGATTGTAGGCTCAAGAAGAGGTTAAAGAGTCAATGTATAGACGTTCAAATACAAGATATATCACTTTTTTAGACAAAAACAGGCCTAATCATTTCCTTTCTATGTGAATTATTTAGATAAGGTAATTTTTATGGACAACCTAATTATGTAAAACCAATGTTTAATTTTTTCAGACTGGTCTAAATTTTCCAAACATTTCTGTTTATATTTAAAATGATTTTCTTATTATCAACTGATTTCAATTGAAAGACATCTGAAAACTAACAAGTCATTGAAATCGGTTTCCTTATAATTCCGAACCACTCAATGGTATTAAACACTAAACTTTAGATGCTATGGTGGACACCAAAACATTTAAACCATGCATGAAAATACTACTGATTTTAAAAGTGTATATGAATATACGTAGTCACTATTACATACTGTTAAATAGTCCAAAATTATGATGAAATACCAATACTACCAATGCTAAATGCTTATTGATGTAAATTAAAATGTAATCAAAGCCGTATCAATAACATCTTTTAATTATCTCCGGTTATGCTTTAATTTTATTCTGTTAATGAATTCAAGTACAAAAATACATGAACACCCATTCATACATACATACATACATACATACATACATACATACATACATGCACAACCAGATGCATCAATTTACCAAACACTCTTCAAGTATAACTTGAATACTTTTGCTCAGAATTATATACACCACCCTGTTTAAAATAATCAGCAAACAGATCCAACAAATAGATGACATAGTTACCACTACTCGATTATTAGTAACATTATTAATGATAATCATATTGTTACTATTAATATTATTATTATTATTATCAATATCATTATTACTATCATAATATTGTTTATTATCTTGAGCAATAAAATAAACAAACGAAACATGAAAGAACAAAAAATGAATAGAGAATATTTGTACAATATCATACATGGGAAAAAATAAAATACTGACAACATGAATTCTTTTGTTTATCGTCTCTTCTTCTTCTCCTGATTCTTATTCTACGTTTTCCTTGTTGTTAATTATGGTCGTTTTAACCAATGTTATCATTGCTGTTATTGACATCGTTGTCATCCTGGTTAGTTGTTGTTGTCGTTTGTTGTAGTAGTTTTGTTATTGTAAGAAAAGTAAAACAGAAACCAAATAGAGCTAACAGGAATGAATGGTCAGTGGTTGAAGATCATTCTCAAACTAAATAACAATCTGATATTTGAAATGAATAAAAGTATGTGCGTTAAGATAGAAGGAAAGAGGTAGGAAAAGAAAGGTGAAAGAACGATGATATTTTAAAAATGATTTACTATGGTTGAGATTGACTTTGTACGTGTATAGGTATATGGACGTGTGTTAGAATTGTGAACCTAGATAATATACTTTGCTAAAGAAAAGAATTAAATGGTTGAATCAAGTCAAAACATGTACATATAGGTGTAAATACATGTATGTATGTATGAATGTATGTATGTAAATATCACTAACGTGAAATTGAACCTGCTATTTAGAAAAGACTGAGATGGTTCACATAACAGCACAATGCTATTGACAATATAAAAGGAATGTTATATAACAATAATAACGACGATAGCGACAAATATTAATAATTCAGTAGAAAAAAAAGAAACAAATTCTTTAAATGATGGACCCTTAGGTAGTGGAAATTTATTTCCTTTATAGAAAATACACTACACAGAAATATATTGACTATTATTACTGCCAGTAGTATTGGTGGTCGTGATAAAAATTATCATCATAATAAATGGTAGATACATAGTCGTCGTATAGATATTAGTGAGTACTATCTTTGCTTATATATCTGGTGTGATTCTGATATATATATATATATATATATATATATGAATTTAAGGAGAAATAAATAAATTTGAAGATAACTCCAGTAATTTACAATATGTTCAAGATAGAGGGGGGGTTTCTTATAATGAATAAAAGAACTATTGAGGAACAAGATCCGAAATTAACATGAAGACATGTATGTGAGAAATACGAAGCAGAAAGAGGAAGAGCGTGTGAATGAGAAAATATTTTATAGAAAAAGAAATCATCAGTAAAAAGGAACATTGGTGCTTTATATAGTAGTTTGATTGTCTTCTACCCACCATTACTCTGTTCTTATATTTTCTCAATTATTTTATTCTATTATTCTTATTTTATCTCATGCTTTTTGTCAATTTCTAGATAAAACACTCATTAGAAGTAAGGGACTAAAGATGAAAAGTATTGTCAGACAAATCTATCAAAAAACGGTTTCAATATGAATTAGTTACATGTGTATCCGTAGCTATATATTTATGTATATGTGATTGTACGTAATTATATATATAAAGAGAAAGAGAGAGAGACGAATGTTTAAATTATATATGTATATAATATTCAAACTTAATTTAGATTGCTACAAATATAGTGTGTGTGTATGTTGTTTTTGTTGATTCCTTTTGTTATGTTGTATGTGTATGTATAATTATACACTGTTAGCAACAATCTAAATTCATTTGGACTGGTAACACCAAGGAACTGGTCCCTTAATTTTCCTGATTTAATCTTACATTTTACAAACCAGTCTTCTCAATTTGTATATGTATCCTATTCTTTATATATATATATATATATATATATATATATATATATATATTTATATATATATGGGTATGTGTGTACAATTTGATTAATTCTCATAACACACTTATATTTAGTTATGAAGTATGATCATTTGGAATGTGGATTTTTTTCTCCAGTTTATAAAAACATTTCTAAATATATATGTATATATTAACTTGAGAGTAATATCTAAAGGAAAGTAAGTAACGCATGTAAAAATTTACGAAAAAAGAATTATTTCCTCTTTCTTCCTTACACAACCTTAGTGTAAAAATAATCATTATTCAGTATGAAGAGAGAAATAGATAACATTCATAGACAATAATCATATCGCTAATTAGAAAGGTAAGTATGAAAGTAAAGTTGAGTATTTGATTCGATCTGTTTGCACGTGGGTGTTGGTTTAATGATAAAACAAATAAATAACAACTTCATACAGACACATTTGTACACAGCCACAGACGCAGATAGATAGACAGACAGACAGACACACGCTTAAATACTTAACACTTCATAAACATAAATACATTTTACCATTTAAACAAGAACATTTCCTACGTGAGGAATGGAACATGGAAACATAGGAGATTTAAAAAAAAAAGATGATAAGAAGTGAGGAAAATGAATAAGAGAGAAAATATCAGTTTATTTTTACCAATATCAACATGACTAAATCCACAGCCTAACTTTCATTTTCTTGTTTATGAATATGTGTATATGAGTGAATACTTTCTGTTAATATTATCTTCTATCATATTCATTATTATTCTGAACTCTTATAAGAAAACAATCTCTAATGTCTATACCATTATTGTTGTTATTGTTGTTGTTGTAATTGTGGTTATGGTATTAGAAACTCTTCAATATGTAATTGTGATGTTTTGCTTATCACACTGAATTTTCAAACAAAAACATAAAAAAGAATTTGAATATTAACTAAATGATTAGTACATACACAGGAGAGAGAGCGAGAAAAAAAAGCATTTACATATATGGATATATATATGTGATTATATGCTACATAGAATATAAAATTAATCATTTCCAATTTCGTTATTTTAATAAAAAACAAACAGTAAATAAAAGAGAGAAAAACAAGTAGACAAACAAACAAACTAATCGAAAAGGAAGTAAGAGAAGATGTATATTGTGTATGGTCATGATAATAATGAAATAAGTATGACTTATTTTTGAAAAAGAAAAACTCATTTTTATTACAAGTAGTAAATCAAAAAAAATATTTAATAAACATTCGGTTCCCTTTGTACAGTAGATCAAAAAGAAGAAAAAATTATTGATAAAACAAAACGTAAACAAAAATTAAGAAACAAGGACAGAAGAAAAGAAGTATACAAGTTAAATCAGATTTCATTCCACTTTATTGTGTCATTGTTTTTTCTACTTTTCTCTTTTGGTTCATTTCTTTTTTTGCCATTTTTATTGATCTGGTCATATGCTGATCTCTTTCTATTGTCAATCTTCTCGTTTGTCTATCTGACTATCAATCTATCTACATATCTGCCTGTCTGTCTCACTGACTGTTTACCTGTCTGTCTACCTACCAATCCTTGAATCTTATTTTCTTATACATGAAATTCAGTCAATAGTATTTGATTATTAATTCAATAAATCTATTTTGTAAATAACCTCTACTTACATAAAATGTAATTAAAAGTTCATTCATATAGTTTATTATTATTTTTATCTATGTATCCACCTAGCTATTTTAATAGATAATATGGAAATATTCAGAATGTGATAGAGATGAAACCATTAGTTGTTTTTTGTTGTTGTTATTGCTGTTGAAAAACATGAATTCTGAAAGATTACAAATTACTAATTACAGTGCTGAATAGATCAGTATGTCAAATGGTTAAATATGAATATATATATATATAAGCATGAATTGAGAGGGGGTTTGAATTTGGTCCTCATATATATATATATATATATATATATATATATATATATATATATATATATATATTAATATTTTGGAAATCTGTGGTCGATTTTGTAAATAAATCTCATGGATTACTCAAAAAATATTCAATATGTATGTATATACTACAGGTTACATTAATAAGTAGTATAATTCTAGTAGTAATAATATTGGCAGTATATAATAAACTATGAATTGGGAAAGACAGATATAATCATCAAATTGTTGTTTGAATTTTAATTTGTTTATTTATTTTTAAATGTGGACGCCGATGTAATGAGTACTGAGATTAATAAACTTGATTTTTCTTGATAAATATATGTATGTAAGTGTGTTCATGTATATGTTCACCTTTATTTTTCAATCATTCATTTTTTTTATTTATTTCTATGATATTAATTTAACAAATCGACGTCCACATTATGGCTAGACAACAGAAGAACCACGATTAACTGTTTCAAGTAATCGATTCACATCTTCTTCTGTCCCTGTAATTTTAGCTTGTCGATAATTTTTCCACAATGTTGCTGTTACATCTAATGCAATTAGATCACTGGCTATTTTTGAAACAACATGAAGTATAAATACACCATCAGCGCCTAAATTATTATTTACAAAACGTGCACAATCACGTTCTTCTGTACTGGATATAAGTCTTAATGCCTTTAAATATTGTTTAATATATCGTACACGACGTGATGGTAGTATTGTATTCAATGCCCACTGTAATGTATTCAATGTAGTTAATAAACCAAGTATTGCGAACCAAAACCATAGAAATACGTAGATTTTCTCTGTGAAATTATTAATTGGCAAAACACATTGTAGTGTATAGCTGTAAAACAGAAAATTAAAAAAGAAATATAGATAAATTAAATTAGTAATTATTGAATTATTGCGTATATGAAACTAATTTTTCAAAAGAAATGAAATGTAATCACTAACTAATAACATCTTAGTTCAATTTAAAATGCTTTGAATAATCCGGTTGTTGATAAGTTGACTAAAATTTGATCAGTCTTGGTTGGTATATGGGCATTTTCTAAGGATTGTTTTGTTATAGCCACTATAACACAAGTTAATACAGAATAGATGGAATGTGACTAACAGTGGAATGCGAGAGGCGCATTTCGTTCTATTCGGGACTTGTCAGCTAGATTTATCTGCATAGGACTGCGACTCGGCACCGTTTGTTACTGAGTTCGAGTTCCTTAGTGAACACCAAATCTAGGATGGACGTACATGCTGCCGACGAGACTCAAACAGAATCAGACAGTGTCCTGGATTCGATTGCTAACCACATTCCATCTATTCTATAATAACATTTTAGCCTATTGTTCAAAACTGATAGCTAACTTTTACGTTAACAAAACATCGTAATTAGTTTTCGGAGTATTGGAGCTCTAAAAAGATTTGTACAGCTTCAAATCAACTATTCCTTGTTATAGTGATTTTAATCACTCTATCAACGCAGACCCAATAAATCTATTGAATGATATATAACTGCATAAAGAGAATTATAATGATAACTAAATTATTTTTTAATAGAGTATAGTCATGATCACTGAAACATAATATAATTAGATGACATTTATGCTTTTATTAAATTAAAACCAACTATACAATTAATTTCAACATAATCACGGTCGTTTTGTGAAGTGATAAAGTGGTAGTTAGTTTGGTTAAGACCTTTAATTTTGTTTTCACTCTACTTATGAGCTTCATTAAGTTACTAACGAAAATAATCAGATAAATGAATAAGCGATTACTTTAAATAATTATAAAAATTCTTTCATTAGATGTTTAGAAATATACGTCTAAAAAACCTTATATGTAAGCCTCTTACTTTTTAGCCATTATCACCATGTTTTATACATATAGCCTTGATGCAGGTGAACATATGTAATTATGTCAATCAAACAACTTGATATTATTATTTCAAATGGTATATGTATGTGACAAGAGTTTGAGCCCTTATGATTGTATACTCATTACTGATAAATCTCAACAGATATAACACTAAATCATGTAACTATAATCAAACTGAAATCTCCCTTACCAAATAAAATGCGATATCCGAGGTGGATAACGATTACATGTATCGATAATATTTGTGAAGGAAAGACAAATTAACTGATTTTCAAAATTTCGGAGTACTTTTCAAATTTGAGTCTTTTTACTTTTATTGCGTAAAGTTATTCCATAGAACTTCTTCAGTCAATTGACATTCAGAAGTTTTCGGATGTGGTGGCGATAATAATTATAATGATTACTTTTATGGTCTGAATATTTCACTTATGATTACAATAACAAAAGATTCTATTTGATAACCTGTCCTTTTTCAAAGTTGTTCTATATAGACAACTGTAAAATTTGTCTGTGGAGGTTGTTAAATTTCGTTGAAATCACAAACCGATCAATGTCAAACCACTATTGAAAACCCAGAAGGACTGGACTGATGCTCTGTATAAATAACACATGGTTGATCAATTAGTAAAGTGAAACAAGAAAGAACTTTATAAAAACAGTTATTGATTATCTTTTGAATATAGTTCTACTTTGACTGAATAGCATTCACGTCATTTTGTTTGATAAAATGTTTAGCTACTCATGAGTAATAAAACGAAAATAACAAAACGTTTCTCAAAATGGTGGACAAAAGTACTGTTGAATTAACAGGATAAGAAATAGGAATTTCCAATTGCTCTCCATAAATAATTTAATGACTTTGAAAAACACAACCTTATCTGCCAAATATTGAAGAAATTACTTCTCAGTAAAACTTATGAATGAACAATAAAATAATCTATTTTCGAATGTTGCTAAAACACTTATGTAAGTGTAAAAGTACTGAAAAAAAAGAATAGAATCTCAGATAACAGTCTACAGATTACCAAGGCCTGTTAAAAAGAATAACTCTAACTTTTTCACATCAATTCCTTTCACTTAAAGTCGAACAAAACTCAATGAATTTAAAGTTCAGAAAGTGATTTATATAAAATGGTTTATATAGAATGATTAATTCAATCAGGTTGGAAACTTAAATCTTCAATGTCTTTACAGATCCAATTGATAAGCATGGTAAGAAGTGTTGAAAGTATAAATCATGTGGATATAAAAGTATTAATTTTAAGTCGAAATATTTGAATCGTTTTATTTCCAGTCACTGGTCAGTAAAATTACTACATTCCAAGGCTGTTGTAAACTACTCAGATAACAATTTTATGAAACTACAATATATTCATGCTTAAATGACTTTATATTCAAAGACCAAGTGTATTTTAGCTTAATCCAGATCGTTTACTTCGACTTAATATTTGATCGACATAAAACTGGTTTGTGAGGTCGTTACTCACTAAAGGCAATTATGGGCGGTGACGCAATTTCGTGGGTTGGTTGAAGTTAGACATAAAAGCCGTTGGATGCTGGCTCAGTGGTCTAGAGGTTGTGTTCACGTGTGAGACAGAAGGACCTTGGTTGGAGTGGCATTGGTGCGGGATCGTGGATGCCCACTACTCAGGATTCCCATAATAGGACGAAACAGTTGTCCAGTACTTCCAGGTTTTCCATGGTGGTCTAGCTTACATCGACTCATGAATTCAACTATTACGAAATATGTGTTAATGGTCTATTACAATGTAGTTTTTAAGTCTTGTTAAATTCATTCACTTAGCCTAACAATATCAACAGACCTACATGAATCCTTTTAAATCATAGGATTTTGAAGTACATAGAAAAACGTAAAATCATATAATATACACGTAAACTTTATAAAAAGAAGGAAAAACCACAAATCAAAAAGAAACTAGATAACCATTTCATTATAGTTTAATACATTACAAATTTTTGTATACAAGATTTCATAAATCAATGTTTCAATGACCTAAAGTTCTTACCATCAATGGATCATTGAGATAGAATCAAACGATCACAATTTCACACTTTGATCATTCCATCATATGAAGTGTTGTTGGTTAACTGTCATTAGTGGTACATATTTAAAATCCAATGGAATCCATGAGAATTAATTAAGGGACGTCACCTTAGTAGTTCGAGAGACAACAGACCCTACTAGATTAAAAAGTTTTGTGATCGACCACTGATAACGTTGCAGAATGAGAGCTGTTAAAGAGTCCCATACTAGGTTGGTGCGATGGATCATAGTTTTCCATGGTTGTCTAGCTACAACCAACCTGTTATATAGACTAAAAATTGACCAATCACTATAAGTCTCCTACACTGTTAATTATAACAGTATCTATGACTACTTAGGAAGAAGTTCCAATAAAATCATCCATGATCTAAGGTAAGGAAATTCTACAATGTCCACCAATCTTTCCATGCTAATAATCATCATGTTCCCACTAGTAACTAACTTCAAGACACAATACTTAGAGTTTAAATGCCACCTCAGAGGTCTAAAGACTACAAGTTCATGAAAAAACTGATGGTCCTGGGCTCAAATCCTCTTTGACAAATTCGTAGATGCGCACTACTAGAACGAAGTAGCTTTCTATCGCTTCTTGGTTTTCAGTGGTGGATCACCTAACAAATTTTGCGACTTAAAATATAGGAAGTTTAAGTACTTAAAACTATCAGCGACTTGAACAAAAGGAAAGAATGGTAATCAGAGTTTAGTGTTAATGATCGAAAAATTAATATCATACTTTAATTAAATTGTAAAGCAACATTTATCAACCATTGAACAATCGAAATTGTTTCAACTTGCCTCATTGTAATGTAGGGTTTAATAACGGTAGTTAAGCTAAACAATTCTGATAATTTCAGTAGCTGGGATCATGAGTCAATCGAATCTAGACCAACATGGAAAACCTGGAAGCACTGTAGGCCGTCTCGTCCTATTGCGGGACTCCTCAATAGTGTGCATCCACGAACCCGCCTCGCGATTGCATCACTGTTCACCATTGTCTTCAGTGAGTTACTATTTCGAAACAGATCCGGTTGAACTCCACTGGTCACTGCTTCTCGCTAGGACTCCGGGAAATACCTCTTGAAACCAGTCAATAGTGAGCATATGCCGAAGTTAGACATTAACACCATTGGATGCCGGCTCAGTGTTCTAGATGTCAAGCATTCTCTCGCAAAACCCACAGGTCCTGGGTTCGAATCTCGCGAGGCAAGCTTGTGGATGTGCATTTCTGGTCACGTTTATTTCTTTAATATTTTTGCTAATTTCTTAAGTAAACAATCATTTGGACACCTTATAGTTAAAAAAACAATCGAAATTTGTAATATCCTATCTGTTGTAGTTGGACATTAACACCGTTGGGTGTCGGCCAGCTCAGTGGTCTAGTGGTTAAGCGCTTGCGCGCAAGACTGATAGGTCCTGAGTTCGAATCTCGCGAGGCGGGATCATGGATGCGCACTTCTGAGAAGTGTCACAATTGGACGAAATGGTCGTCCAGTTCTTTCAGGTTTTCCACGGTGGTCTAGATTCAATTGACTCATGATCTCAGCCATTGAAATTACATTATGTTATGATTATTGTATAAATACATTTATACGCAGTATGCGTACAATATGTGTGTACAGTAGTGTGTACACCAACATGATATGTTTTAAGGTATAGTCTCACTAATCAAAAATTTCAAAACAAGACTTATAAATTAATTATGAAGTATTCTTATGAAATTATTAAGCCTATTAGCTCTGCAGTCATGGTGAACCATAAATGTGTTAAATTTATTCTCATATAAGTAGATATATTCATGATTATAATAAATGTTACTATGAAAGTTTAAGGATAACATAAATAAAGAGATTAAGAATAGAGTGAATATTTTGGTCAACTCCCAGTTGACTAGATCTAATTGA